TCAGAGCCAGCAGATTTTCGTTAGGCGGGCATTTTGCCGTAACACGGGAAGAAATATTGCCGTTAAGTGCCTTTGTAACTTGAATTTTCCGTTAAATGGGGTATTCGTAAGTCGGGGTTCCACTGTATCTGACACTTGTTCTGCTTTTAACTCATCTGCTCCCCCTGATAGCTGAATGCTGTCTCTGCTGCGTCTGCTGCATCTGCTCCTAAAAACTGCTGCATCATTTCTTTGAATCAGTAAGGCCTCAAATGCTACTGAAGAAGAAAGGATAGTAACAGATACCCTGGTTTGGAAAGTGTAAGCTCATTAGATTATTTCGATCGTTTCTGTCCTAGCATCATCTGGTTTCTCTGCAGTGAGTCTAGGATTGTGTAAAGGCAGGAGACTGGACCTCAGAAATAAAATAAAATGCAGAGATTTTCATCTGGGAATGAATAATGGGAATTTTATTGCACTAAATCAGATCCTACATTAACACAAAAATCAACTGACAAGCATACCACATTCACTGTGTTGTAAAGTCAGGATGGCTAACATGGTACGAGAGCTAATCACACATCTGGCTGATAAAGAGCATTGTAGTTTAATGGCTCTATAGTGTAGCTGGTTTAGTTCAGCACTTAAACGTGAAACCACAACCTCTGAACCTAATGCAGCAGTGCGGGTTTGATTCCATCATGAGGTCCTTTGTCTTTGTTTTCAGCCAGTTACTTCCAGTTTTAGTTTGATTCTTTGTTGTCTCGTGTGCCTTTAGTTTCACTTCCCCTTGTCATCTTGAATAGTTTCAGCTGTCTCATAGTGGAAATACACGAACGTGCCTGTATTCCTTTGTTGTGTCATACTGTGTTCCTCCCATGTTAGTTCAGTTCGTATTTTTTCCCTGCTGGTGACGACTGTATTTTTGATCTTCATTATGTTGTATTCTAGGTTATCATCTCCCTTTTCGTTCTCTTTAAGTAGTGATGTCAAAGGCAGGTCTGAAGCTATTTTGCTGGAATTTTACAAGGTTAATTTTATATGCATAAAATAAACTGAAACTGTGTTTGAGTTAATCATATAATCAAGTGTAATTAGATCTGCTGACTGCCTCAGAAGAACAAGATGTGTGAGCAGAGGGCAGATGAGAGGATGCTGCAGGAAAAGAGAGGAACAAACAGACAAGACACAGACTGACATGGCTTAGTTTATCAACACGGTTTACCTACATATGTGAACTTCCTTTAAATTTTATTTAAGATCAGAAAGTTTTCAATTTCATTATACTTACGTGTTCAGCTTCCTTACAGTTTGATAATGGTAACAAAGCAGAGTTCAGACAGTTTAATCTATTACTAAATTTACTTTAGACAGTGATATAGGGTGCATACAATTTAAAAAAGCAGACACCAAGTATGAGAATTTAATGTTACTATAGAGAACTATGAGAGGACTATTTTGAGAATATGGGTTCAGATGACTGAAAAGCTGTAGCTGTTTAATGTAGATGTTTAAAGGTGATAATTAGTTACACACACACAAAAGTTTTGTGTCTGTTTTCTTTGAACAGCTGGGTACATTTGTAGGTACCAAAGTTCATATTTACTCAAGTGCTGGTCTCAAAAGTCTCAGTAACATTTTATCTTTGCAGGTTGTTGCAGTTTATTTTCTGGCATGGTTCTGGTTTATGAAGTGTTTATTAATCTTTTTTGGTTATTGTTGTTGATCTCAAAGAATGAGTTACATTTACTAGTTTAGTTTTCTTGTGCTTTTGAGTTTTCTGATTGTACTATCATCTGTTGTGGTTCAGATGATTTTAGGTTGTTTAGTTTCCTTTAGGTTTTCCTTTCCTCATGTCCTGTCCTTAGTGTCTCCTGTGGAAGTCAGTCTTGTCTCCATGTTTATTTACATCTCTGTTTCTTTCTCTTTCGCTCTCTCTCTTCTTCGTCTCAGTCATGTCTCTGTGTTCTGTCTCGTTACCTGTTCTCATGTTCGTCTCTTGGGTGTTTCATCCTTTTTCTCTTGAGTCGGTCGTGTGTTTGCATGTTTGTTTAACCTCATCTTAGTGTCAAGTTTGCATGTCCTGGTCTGCATCTCGGTGTTCGTGCTACTTCCTGTTTTATTTTGACAGTTTTTGTCTCTTGTGTGTTATGTTCAGTTTTGCTTCCTCTGTCTCATTATGACCAATTTGTTCCCGCTGTGTTCAAATGTGTTCCCTGATCTTCCTGATCACTCATCAGTGTATATATTGTCTCTATTTTCCTCTGTTTTTTTGTCAGTGAGTCTGTTCATCTACAGCTATGATCCTGGTGGTCCAGGGGTCCCAGTGTTTTCCCAGTTCAGTGTTTCTTGATTAGTTCGTCATTCAGTCTGATTTTCTTATTTTTATACTGTTTTGCCTGTCAGCCTGAATAAACGGCTCGCCTTCTGTTAACTCCAGTCTCCATGCATCTGCATTTGGGTCCTCTCGCTGCTCCACTCAATCTGCTGCTGCAGATCATGACACTTTCTTGGATGCATGTTGATAAGTATAGTCTTATTTGTTTGTTTAAATTGAATTTTTCGTCCTAAGGGTTCTGACAAAAAGGCCTAGAGACCGGTTGGCAACTGGCATCAACCACACATCCTTAGGGACAAACAAATTGAATGACCGGTTGCAGTGGCGTGTCCAGCGGGGTGGCCTGGGGGGGCACAGGCCACCCCCCCAACCAGACTGGCCACCCCAGGTGCCACCCCAAAGGCAAAACAATAAAATTCAATCAAATATCAAATGTCCGATTATGTTTTCACGGTGAAGCTCAGATATCCGAGTGTA